CTATGAAGCGGTATATAAGTCTAACTGCTATTGCTATTGCTATTGCTAATTTGATGGGGTGAAGTAAATTCTATAGGTAGCCTGATAACTATGCCAGGTGATGATCAACTCCTTGAACTATACCTGGAAGCAAACTGGCACTCAGTGCAGTTCATGGAGCAAGAATGTTATGTTTGCCCTTCACTGGCACCAAATATGGCTCACGCAGCTTCATTCTGTAGCAGTTAAAGCCTCCGTATATTTTTCAATGCACAGAATGCATTGCAATAATCCAACTGGCTGTATACTATATGCACAGTCAAAAAAGCAACATATATTTTACTTTCATTGCACATTTAAAATAAAAACTTAAAATTAAGACCACATCTGTACAGCTAACATAAAAGGAAAACTTTGCAAGAATTACTAGCTTTACAGTCTTTTCAAATCCATTTTTTTTCTTCTGAAAAATGGATTCTAACAGCAAGAATGATGTAGAAAAGGATTCAATAATGGATTTACATCTGAAACCAGTCAAGGTCTCAATAACTAAAATGCACATACAAATAATAAATCAGAAGAATGATTTGGAAAGTTTTCTTATTCTGGTCTTACAAAAGGAATGTCTTAAAATACTGAAGCGGTTAATGCAAGAAATGTATGTGTTATTGTACTGTATTGTTGTTAAATGATAAAGTTACGTGGGTGTTCAGCATATAAAGAAACTAACTCAAATTTCTTTTGACCTTCCTCCTTTACATGTTAATTCGTATTTTTTTTACAGTTCTATTTGTCATGTTTGTTCTTAGTTCTTATTTAAAATAACTGATTCCATGAAAATTTACATATAAAATTAGTTCTACATCTAACACACATTTAAATGGAATTACTAAAATTATAACTTAATACAATGCAATGTTCTTAAAAAGATCTTTCTGAACCGAATTGTAATGTAAATGCAAATGTTAACACGTGAACAAAAATATGTGAACAAATCTTCTCTAAAGAGTAACAGTTGTCAAATACACTAACAACTGAATAACACAACCCTGTAAAATCTCATTTGCTTCCCCTTTCAACATGACATTGTTTTAAAAAGTACATCTTTATATACGATTGAATAAATAAATAAATAATTACCTTGCTCTTCTAAAATTCCATTTGGCATTTTTTTATCAGTGGAATTTACAACTGCTTTTCTATGTCTTCGCAACCTTAATAAATATAACAAGCATTAAGAAGACCATCTCTCACGAGACTAAATAAGTTACCAAAAAAAAACATTCTATATTATGGCTCACAAACCCAGTAATTCTGGAGAAGGTTCTTCTAATCATTTTTCCCCCCAGTTATAAATATATATATATATNATTCCATGAGCACAGCTGGCTGGGGGATTCTGGGAGTTGAAGTCCACAGTTGCCAAGGTTGAGAAACACTGCCTTACACCGAGCTACCCTCAAAGAGTTGTTGAAAGACAAGCCTTTTTCATCATAAACAAACGGCATCCCCAGGGGACACCGTCAAAGGAGGAAACTGCCCCCCAAATATATATATTTTTAACATATGCATCACAGCCTCCTCCTTTCTCCGGCTTAGTGGCGCACATGGCTGTGACACATTAGCGCGCATAATTATATTTCCCAGGAAAATGACTGAGCATTGAGCAATTAGGCTGCAGCACAAGACGCCAAGCCACTTTTTCCACAGGCCTGGACTGCCAAGGGAAGCACCCAGAAGCTCCAACTTTCACAGAAATGGGGGGTTGAGTGGGCTGAGCCCCGAGAAACAGAATTCCCGAATATATTTTGGAAGCCGGTGTGTTTCCGACGAAGACCGATCCATCCTGGGAGAGCGCAGGTGGATGCCAGGACTGGAAGAAGTCATTACGGCCACTGGGGTCAAACCTGTAACCAGCCACAGGGGAGGCAATCTCACAGATGTTGGAGGCCATCGTAAGTGTGGGCATTTAATAAACTTCACCAGAGGCTGCCCTGCAACCGGCTGCCCACCTCTGGCCCGCCGACCGCTCGGCAGAAATTTGCAATGATGGACAAACAACCCGAAAGGGCGGGGAGATTAATTGTTACCAATTACTTTTCAAAACAAGCAATGCAGCATAAAATTGCCAGGTGGGTGTTGAACCACGCAGCGCCAAGTCTTTAGCTTCCTTCTCTGCCCAGTGTGTGTTTGTGTGTGTGTGTTTGTGCACGCACAAGCCATTTCAGATTTAGCCCTGGGGGGAGAGGGGGGGAAACCAGCAAGAGAAGGTTGGTGGAAAAATACACCTTTTCCTGCCCGTTAAAAGTTTCCTACCTGCATACCAGCCAATGTAGAGAGAAAGGGGAACGAAGGAGAAATGTTATGGCCCGCAGAGCTGGCAGCAGATTCGGACAGTGAGGAGGAAGATGAGGCAGTCCTGGAGTCTGGGGAAGGCTCCGATGAGGGCTCTGTGTCGGAGGCAGAGAGGGAGCCAGGCCTGTATGCCAGCTATCAGCTGCCTCCAGAGTCAGACATCAGTGAGGCAGAAGAGCAGCTGGAGCCTATTCCCAGTGTACAGATGCAGAGTGCCAGACGAAGGGAAGAGCTAAAGAACAGGGAGAGTAAGGCCACAGGAGGACGATGAATGGCCCCTCCCAGAGGGAATAAAAGAGGAGCGAAAGGGGAGTGGAGTTTGCAGGAGACAATTAGTTCGCTTAATTGGTCCGTGACTCTCCGAGGCTCCTTGCCAAGTTCTGCAGATATCAGCCTGTCAGCTCTCCAAGCTAGATAAGGTCTGTGATTGTAAATGCTCCTTTGAAAGACTTTTGGATGTGAATGAGCAGAATGAAATGAAAGCAGAATTAATGAAAGGGGTTTTTGACAGACTAGGGAAAGCTTGATTTATTGTGTCATTTTTTTTCTTCCACACCTTCTCCTTTGAAAAGTTCAAGGAACCTTTATTGATTTCTTACCCGCCTTCCCAAATGTAATCTCTCTATGTGCCCATGAGGAAGTGCTTATGAATAAAGAAGCATTCAAGGGCAGTTGGATACACAAGCAGTTGGATAGCGCCACAGTTTTTCTGTTGTTCCCTTTCTGAACGAACTGTTGGGATGATCGGTAATTAAAGGAAACAAATTTCATGCAAAGTTTGCTAAACTGGGCTTTCTTTTCTCTCCCCACTCCCTTCTACACTTAATATTTAATGTCAGTTTGGCAATTATATGGACATGTCCAAATAATTTAGTAAAGTGAGATTTTTTTTTAAAACTCAGAAATGGGAAACTGATACCTTCCAATCCCACAGAGCAAGCCACAGCTGATTTACTGCATTTATTACAGTTTATTTTAGTCCTTCGTCTTAATGTACATTTATTTTGGCTCTTCCTCTAAATGTCTGCATAGTATCACAATCCTTCAAGGAATCTAATTTGGCCTGAAGTCACTGCAATGACCTTAGAGAGGGTTAACATTATTGCCCAGAATATCATTGGTTTCCCTCTCCCCTCTTTGGAAGAGCTTTATAGATCCCACTGCCTTAAGAAAGTTCAAAACATCCTTAAAAATCCCTCTCATCTTGGGCATCCTTTTTTTGAACTATTACCATCTGGCAGATGGTACAGGACAATAAAAACAAGGACAGATAGGCTGAAAAATAGCTATCCCAGAGCAGTAACTATCTTTTTTTATTAAAAATTTAAAAAGCTTTTACAAATATTTACCTCGCGTTCCCCAACCTCCCAGAGCAAATACAGGGTATAAATCTTTAACAATCATATTCTAAAGTAAACTAACAGACATTAGCATCATCCTCCACTTGTACTTTAACTCCCCTTTTGTTGAGTTAACTTAAACAAATTATATCATCCCTTGCTTCTTCAATCATAAGCTATCTGGAGTTTCTTAATCCCATATTTATTTTGAATATAATCAATTCATCTTCTCCACCCCATGTTATATTTCTCATCTGAGTGATCCTTGAGATATGCTGATATTTTAGCCATCTCTGCTAAGTTTGTTACTTAGTGGGGAAAGTTGATTTTCTGTTGAAATTTTCATTGCTTAGCATCCATTATTTCATTGTAGTCATAACTCATTTTCGTGGTGCTTTCCAGGAGGAAATCAGCCCCTTGGAGAACGCCATTGAAACCATGGAGCGGACAAATGAGAAGATCAGTAACTGCGTGCAACAGCATGCTTGGGACCGAGCCCTGCCTGTCCATCCTCTCTCCATGCTCTTGAATGGCATTGTGGATCCAGCAGTAATGGGTGGTTATACCAACTACGAGAAGGTTGGTTGTTTCCTTGCTCTCTGTTGTAGGTCACACAAGAATCTCGGGAATTAAAACAGGGAGGCAGAGTCATAGAATCTAGCTACATGAACAGTACTATAGATATCAGAGAATTGGGAGGAGGGATCCTTGCAGCAGCTGGCACTAAATTTAAGGGTGGAAGTCAAAGGATTTGGTTTCCATTCATTAAAACATTCCTTTTCTGTAGTAATAGGTACATTTTGGTGAGCTATGGACCTCATTCATTTTATAATAATAACTTAATAAACTTAATTAGAGAGTACTTGACATTCTGGAATTCTAATTTAAAATGAAAAGGAACAAGGGAAGGGATAGACACTAGGCAAAGATAAACTCTAAAGAAAAGGACAGGTATAGGAGGTTTTGTCTAACTTGCCCTCCTCTGTTTTTCCTCTTTACTGAAATTTCACCAAATGTTGTCCATTCAGATATTACATAGATCAGTGATGGTTAATCTTTTCAGCACCGAGTGCCAAAACTGGAGCACACACGCACCAGAGTGCCAGGACCTGGAAGAGAGCAGCACCAGCCATCTGCTGTCTTCTGGGCTCCACCCCAGCAGCTAGCTGCTCTTCCAGGTTCCGTCACGCGCATGCATGCCAGACAGCTAGTCCATCATGCATGCGCATTGGCCAGCTGCTCTCTTTTGGGATCTGGTGCATGCATATGCATCAGCCAGCTGGTCCGGCACAAGAGCAGCTGGCGATAGCGCACATGGCCACAGAGAGGGCTCTCTGTGCCACCTCTGGCATGCATGCCATAGGTCGCCATCATGGATATAGATAGTGTCTCAAAGGTGCTTTTTGAAAAGGCAACTGGACTTTCTTTGTTTTTTCCTTGAAGATGCTTCACTTTGCTTCCAAGGAACTTCTTTATTTCTCAGCTTCTTGGATGAATGAAGGAAAAATGAAGAAAATCCAGTTGCCTTTTGAAAAAGCACCTTTGGGACAACCTTGACCTTGGATGACTGACATTCTCCATAGATGCATATAGATAGTGATAATCTATTGTGGATTCTCTACCCACAATAGGAATGGCATTTTTTTTAATGTACTTAAAAAAAGTACATTTAGCAATTATTTGAAGTTATAGGGGCATTGAAAAAGGCGACTTACAACTGGTCCTCACACTTATAACCATCATGCCATCCCCATGATTACAGGATCAAAATTATGACCGTTGCTCTGTCTCGGGGTCATGTGATCACCATTTGCAACTTTCCCAGTTGGAAGCCAGATTTTTCTTAATGACTACGTGATGCCCTTAATAACTGCAGTGATTAAAAAAACCACATGATTTAACAAGCATGATAGCACAGATCATACAATCAGACACAATTCATTTAACAACTGCCATTGTTCCATTGTTTAGCAATGGGAATTCTGAGGCCAACTGTGATTGTAGGACGACTATCTGTACATATGTTTTATATCACCATCCTATCCAATCCAATTCAAAATTCAATTCAAACCTTTATTATCAAAAGTACAACATGTGAACGATCAGATTGTCTGAGCCTCCCTTCGTGCACTTCCCCCCGCCCTACACAATACAACTCACAGTGAAAGACAAAAAATCCCTAGCCCAGTGAATCCTACTAACAAACACCCAGTCCTATTGCATTATGTTAACTTATTGCATGTTGCGCCGGCCCCACAAGTCAATCGTACTATGTTGTTGTAGGGTTATTTTTCATTCAGGAGTCTCACAACCTAGGGATAAAAACTGTTCTTCAGCCTGTTTGTGCAGCTGCCTGTGCTTCTATATTTCTTTCCAGATAGTAAGAGAATAAAGAAGGGTTGACCAGGGTGTGAGTCGTCCCTGAGGATTTTCCTCACTCTCCTAAGGCAGTGAGCCCTAGCAATGTCATCTAGTGGTATCAAGGGACAGCCCACAGTGTTTTGTGCTGTGCTCACCACCTTCTGTAGTGTTTTTCTATCCATGGCTGTCAAGCCAGCATACCACCTCATAATGTAATGAGTGAGGACACTTTTTATTGTGGACCAGTAAAAGGTCATCAGTTGTTGTTCTACTTTAGTTTTTCGCGAGACCTGAGGAAGTGGAGTCTCTGTTGGGGCCTCTCTGGCCACCTGGGTCATGTTGATTTTCCAGGTGAGATCTTCACGGAGATAGACTTGCGGGAATTTAAAGGAGGAAACTCTCTGTTGCTATCCAGGATCAAAGTCTTTTTCCTCCTTAGGATTTCAGTTATGGATAGTGTGGCAATGCCAAATGTGCTTCCAGAAAACAGGATTTTTAATTGATTTTTGGGTTAGAGGCATAAAAATCATTGCAAACCCCTGTGCATATCTGGAAATTAGGATGGGTGGGACATCTTAACATCTTGTGTCTCTCTACTACCACCCAAGTGAGCAAGGCTTACTTCTAGCTAGGACGTATTAAAATCACTTTGATGCACAGTGGGTACCTTTAGTGTGGAAAGCTTTGTGATACAGACAGCCAGCAAATGCTGCAATTGTGGCATGGACAAAGGATCCAATTTTATGCCAAGGAAATATTTTGAGCTCCCGCTTCTCTAGTTTCGGTGCTAAAGTTAGATTCTGCAAAAATGGAAATGCTGTCAAGGCTTCTTCCAAATGGGGTTACCACATCTGAAAGCTATCAGCCTTTTATTTTTATTTTTATTTTTGCTCACTTTTTCCTCTCCCTGACTCAGCTGGGGTAGGGAGTTGGGCTTTTGTGGGCACTTAATAATAATAATCTAAACCTTTCTTTCACATTAAAAACCAGAAATCAATGTCCTGCACAAATCATTTGGCTTTGTGGTTTTCTGACAAGGCTCAGCACTTCGGATTCTAGCTGATGGAATTTTGTGGGTTTTATCCTGTTGCCACAATACCTTCTCCCCTGCTAGTCAGGGTTTTACTTATTTATTTTTAAAGAAGAAAATGGCTTCACGGTTTAGTTTTCTGCTCCAAAAGGAGTTAAAACTTGCTTATATATTATCCCATACTGTTGTATACTTCTGAGTAGGACTGGAGAAAATGTAATCTTGCAGATGTTCTTAAATTATCCCCAGTATGCCCATTGATGGGGAAAGAATAACAGATTTGGAAGGGACCTTGGAGGTGTTCTAGTCCAACCCCCTGCTCAAGCTAGAAACCCTGCTTGAATTTCTAGGATTAATGTCAAGCATCGGCGAAATCAGGAGAGTCAATCAGTTCAGATGAGTGCAAATGTATTGCAAGCTTAAACTCTATAAGAATCTGAACTACTAATGGTCAAGGGAAATTAGCAGGAGTTAAGAAAGGAATTCAAAGTGGGCTGGACTTAGATCTCTTGTGAACACTCAGGGACTCTTGACTGATAACGCGTTTGACCCTTCCCTCGGGCTCAGCCTGGTTATCTCCTACAATTATAAGATTCTAGGAAAGTTAGTATCATAATTCTGCAACATTTGTAAAGCTGCACATTCCTCATCCTTGCCTCTGAGAATCAGTTCTGCTCCTATTTCTGCCACTCTAACTCAAGTATTATTTTTTTTCTTTAATAACATTATGGAAATTGGCTTTGGTGAGCCTAGTAGTTGTTTTGGCTGCTCATCAGTTGATATAAAAGGGGGTTTCTTCCATGTTAGATCTGACCAAGGACACTATTAATTGTTATTTATTTGCCAACTTTGTGTTTTTCTCACATCCATTCACCCTTCTCCTTTACTCAGCCTCTCTGTGATCATAAGTTAGATTAGGAAGGCAACTTCCAAGCTGAATTGTGGGACTCAACCTGATTCGTCTTAGTCAAAGGATACTGTGCTGCCTTTCTTTCTTTCTTTCTTTCTTTCCTTCCTTCCTTCCTTCCTTCCTTCCTTCCTTCCTTCCTTCCCCCCTTCCCTTCCCTTCCCTTCCCTTCCCTTCC